ACCAAGAAATGTCCTGGATGGACTCTATTCCCTGTTAACATTTTATTTTTTGAAAGTTTAGGTTCCATTTCAACCTCTCGTTTTGTGAGATATTCATTATTGTTTTCTTGACGACAATATTTTATAATTTGCCTTTAATAAGTTATTAAGCCTTTCATTCTCCAAGATCACCAATGAGAATATATCGAAGCTTATTAGCCACATCATTAATCGTTGACAGAGAAAAATTTAGACGTTTTTAAATGAAAGCTAGAACCAGACAATTGGAATGTGTACTTAGGCAACGAACTGGTAAAACAAGAATACATATATATACATATATAACTGCTTATCTAGATAAGCTCTATCTGGCTTTTAAACGATTCTAAATTCTTTTATGTCTGAATAAATTTGGCATAGAATAATTGTGAAACGTCAACTGAATTAAGCTATCTCTACTTTATGATCATTGATATTTGCATATTGTTTAATAATCAAGTAGTTTGCTATGTATAATTACATTTATTTTTATTTACTGAAATATTATTATTATACTTGACCTCAATTATTAATAAAACCTTGTGAAGAAGCATGTTAGACAAATACTTTTTGTGAAGTTATCTAATAGATAACATAACTCACTAATATAAAAAACAATTTAATGTTAGTTATATTTCAAGGGGTTTCAATTTCTGTAATTTAAAGGAGCAGAATAATGTTAAAGCAAAAATATAATTTATTCATTTTCAAATTGTTTCAATAAGTAAGGTTATTATATACGATTCACTATTCATTTAGGTTTGGTGACAGTAGATTATTTATTACAGTACAGTTGTGATATATGTTACTTGAACATTGGTATTTAAGTAATGAGCAATGAAAGCATAAAAATAGTCATATAAACTTTTAAATGGAAATCTTTAATTTTGACTTCAAATTTTGTACATGAACGAATCAATCTTCTCAATGAGATTATTACTCTCAAACTGTTATTATCTTCAGAATTCTAAATTAGTTCTGTAACTTTACTATGTATTCAAAAAACTATCAATGATTTATTTTCTTTAGCCATTGTAATCAATACTAAGTGGTTAGTTGCAAGTGAGTATTAAATAATAAAATGTTTTATTGAGATCACGAACCGACTAAAGTTGGCCTAACGTTGATCAGTTCACGATCTCAATAAAAACTCAACGATCTTCACAACTCTATACTGATAACAAACTGCTTGTTACGCGATAACGATTACTATCATATATTTAGTCTGTGATAGCTACTTTAGATAAAGAATGACTCAGAATAATGTCCCTATGGAATTAAGTAATATGCTTTGCCCAATAAAACAGAGTGAACTTCCTCAATGTTTCAGGCTTATCTTATTGATGAATGCAAATAAATGAAGTAAAATTATGTCTTGAGATTTCTGCTGGTCACATTTAAGGCAATAAATTAAAAACCGAAATATAGAAATTAAATTTTATAAACAAAAGCTTTTACGCTTTTCAGAATCAAACAACTACTTTTTTTATGAATATAAAAGCAGACATAATCAAAATGATCAAGTTTGGAATTTCTTTCATATCACTTCATCTTAAGATTTTCTAGTAATAACATAATACAAACCAATCAATGGGAAAATGTTCTCAATCAACTACATAAAATATCTCTTTGTTCTGACATATTAATCTAAAGTGTTAAAGTAGGATCATGTGAAAATAGCTACGTTTCCTGAAATAAATTCTTCTATTTTTACGTTTTACATCAATAATTCGAAAATAGTTAAATGCAAAATCAATGTAACCTTATAAAATAAAGAAGATATTCACAAACAGACAATGAACTCACAAAAGCAAAGGCAATCGAAAAAGAATTTTTATGACAACAGCTCATCATCCATATTATTAAGTCAGTAATTGTTTGTGAAAATATTGCGTAGTACATTTACTTCATAAGCCTATCTATTTAAACATTATCAAAGATGTGAAAACAGTCACGTTTAAATGAACAATAACCATCAATCAACAATGGTTTACTTAAATAACAATAATAAGTATTGTACAAAGCGTTGTTTTATTCTATTAAGTTTCTCAAGTGATAGTGTCTTGTCTATTTTTATCTGAAGCATTCTTTTTAGTTTACTACATACTAAATGGCATAATTTTGTTCTTTTCACATACTTTTGTCTTAAAATTTCACTGTGCGAAATTTATGTCTCTTCATTTAACCAATTTATTCAGTTGGATTCAGTTTATTTTTCTGAATTAGGCGTAATCGTAATGAGAAATGTTTTTACTAAAAGCATAAGTTGATTCCCATTTGAATGATACATACATTACGCTAGTAGTCTAGTCAAGAGGTTATAATTAGTTGAAATGATTGTACACCATGAGCTTTCATTATAACTACACTAAGTAGACGTACTTGATTTTTCAATAATACCTCTATTTCTATTAACCTTGTTCAGTCTATGCGGTGACATCTAATGTTAATCCATTTATGACCTAGATATTTTCCATTTTGAAATACGATTTCTCACACACGTTCTTGTGTCCAACAAGGATTTATATTCTTAGCCCCATTATTAAAGCTGACTGCTAGTACACTGGTGACATTTAAATAGGTGACATCAGGAACAAAACTTCAGAAGTACCATTTTAATCCGATGTCGGATTATAGCCAACAATTTCATTACCCACCTTTTTATTTATTGATGTTTTTTGACATACTTAACAAACTAGATCCATTACACGAAGCTCCATGACACATTCTTTTATTTGTTAAGATAAAAAATATAGCAAAAATGTATTCAACACAGCTGTTACCTCAACAGTTGTAGATATCAGATTAAGCGTAAAAGGTAATTGCTTAAACTTTACATATTTTTTAATAAAATTTTTAGACTTGCAAATGTCGGTTTTTTCTTTGTTTCAGCTAAGCACACTTAAACATCTTAATAGAAAATTACAGTAGCTAATTATGGCTATACTCCAAAGAAACAAAAAACAACATAAGCTAAGAATAATTTAATGATAACATCTAATCTTATCGACCACCCACACTTCGTAAACGGCATTTGAGTAAATATTGTCAATTAAGTTTCATAAACTGTTGGTGTTTACGGATATCAAATGCTAAGCATGTCTTTATTATGTACCTTAATATTTTTCTAGTTTTTAGAAAAAATGTTGACTTGTGTATCCTATTTGTGAAACGTAGTTGTGGCGTTTATCTAACAGTTGTAACTACACTATCCTCATTAGCCTAAAGCGCATACGAACATTTTAGTGCTTAGTAGTAAAAGTTTCTAGAGTAACACCTTAACAGCATAAATTTGTATTAATAACTAGTTCTAAAAACCAGTGTTTTGTTTGTAACTTAAACTAGTATTCTTGTTTCTGGAACTGGGAAAACGCATATTAAATCATTTAGCTTGGAAATTTAGGTTAAAATACATTTACAGAGTTAGCACTTCAGCTTAATAGACTCAGTTCGTCTGACTGTACAAGTCACCAAACAACAACCCATTTAATCTTCCTGTTTGCACGTTGAAAGCGTTAATCGTGATAATATATTATTCACTATTTACTGACAAATTCTTAAAAGTTGCAGAAGAGAAGAATTTCTTTGTTCTAAATTCTTGATTCCAGCTTAAGCTTCGGACTTCAAAATAAATGCGACCATCATTTGACAAATGGCTTGTGGTTATATCGATACTTCTAGTCAAGTCATTTTAAATCTAGTGCAAATTCATTCTGACACTTCAAGCCATGGATTATTACACACTTAACTCCCTGTTTTCTAATGATAAGTATTACACAAGATGAAGGTAGTAAACGCTGTTTATGTTAATTATATGCATAGCATAGTATCTCACTGACCATTTGGCTTAAAAATTTAAAAGTAATCTGGGGTTGCTGATGACCATCGAATAGCTTATGCAAAGTCTGAATTTCTGATCTCTAAAGAGTTTTGTTTTCTGTATACCTCTATTTTTGCATTTTTAATCAAACCACTAAAATGAACGTGGATATAGATTTTGACTAACTACTGATAAAATACTGTGGCTCGTCTGGTTTTCATATCAAAAGTACTTCATAAATGGTTCCAAATTCAAACGACTTGGTCAGTGAGCAGATGGAAAATAATCAAACATAGAAATACTGCCGAATAAATCTCAAAGTTTGTATTTAAAATCATGACTGACTTTAGCTATACCAAGTGGTGATGAGTAGCTGTTTTGTCCTATTACAAGAGTCCTCAATAATGTGAATTCACAGGCTAGAGAGGAACCAAACCTAGCATATTTAGCCCTCATAACTCCCCTATACACTTAGACAGCTGAAATGAAGTTCAACGCTTTACACTTCTACCTTCTGTCAGTCTGCTATGTTATGTAATTATTAACTGCCAAAGGCGGTAGCTGTCCTACATTCTACAAATATTCGAAAAAGTGCTTCTAACTAGGAGACATTATGTACCATGATCAAGTGCACGATCAGAGACTTATTAAAACGAAGAATAAGACGAATATTTTAATAATGTTATCGAAACTATGAAACAACCTAGGTTAAACACGCACTGAAAACTAGCAAGCTAGGGACAGATGTTTTGCCTTAGTATGAGACACTTCGACAGTGCACATCTATGACTCCACCCTGAACCAAACCTAGTGCTCTTAGTTCTTGAGGTAAACCTAAAGTTTAAAACCCTGTGACCTCATCCAGTTATGGATATATCTATCATCAATCAACCCGAGACACTTATTCGTCGTGTTTCATTGTATTTGATGAGTACGTGCTTCACACCCGATAGAGATGAGCTTCATTTATCATAGATTCTTACTCAAATTTCGAAAATTTAATCTCAAACCTAGTCATTATTACTGGAAAGCAAAAAACAAATTCGTTTAGAACTTTCTAAACACCGTATTGTGTGGTAAAATGTTCTATTTTTTAATTATGAAATACATTTTTCCCTTTACTACAGTTACCGTCTCTTTTTATCCCACTTTTGTTAACTAGTCGAAGTTGCAGTCAAGGTTATTGACAGAACTAAATTTGATGAGAAAACTCGACGCTTACTTTCGCAAGAACTAACAAACATGGAACGTTTACATCATCCACACATAATTCGTGCATATGAAGCACATGAGGTATTACAACGTTGGCATTTAGTTATGGAATATGCGCCTAAAGGTGAACTTAATTCATATTTAAAACGATCTGGTCGATTGGATGAAAAAACATCAAAAAATTATTCTTCACAAATACTTTCAGCTCTTGATCACTTAGTAAGTTATTTAACTGATATATATATGAAAAGAATAAGATAATGTTTTATTAACTGGTCAATAGAAACAGCATAACTTAAATATTCAAATTATTTAATTACAAATGTTAGGCTAGAACCTCAGTCATAGTTTCGTCCAAAATTACAAGAAATCTGTATCTATTTATTTTACCCATCAGAACTTGAAAACAATTCATAGAACTTTATTCCTCGTTTTGTTGAAAATCATGGTTACCTCACAAAAATGACCAAACATTAAAATTCTCAACGTGACTCATCTCTCCACTTTTGAATTTATGTACACGTTCCATATTTATATCTTTGTTTAATCAGAATTGTTGAATTATTAGTTTGTTGATATTATTAATATTAATAGCTCTTTATAACTCACCAGACTTATTCACATGAATTTTCAACAGTGTTTCTAACTCCAAATTATCATTTAGTAAAAATTTAATATGCAGATATCTGTAACATGGATTTCAACATCCTTGAGCTGATTTAATAGGAAATCTATTTCAGTACTTTGAGTATTCAGCCGTTGGATGCCACGTTGATGGTCTAGAGACTAGTCATTCGAGCGCAAGACTGATGGTCGTAGGTTCTTTTTTCAGATGAGGGTTTGTAGATGTTCACCGCTAAGGAATCCTGTACCAGAACGAAAAGGACGTTTAGACCTTCCAGATGATGATCTAGCTAATATTAGTTCGTTGTTTAAATTATTTTTTGTATAACCGATTTCTGTTCACTCTTCAACTACAAATTTTAAATAACATTATGAGATGAATGAAAGTTTAGAAGAGTCATTTACGTAGTTGAGGTTGATCAACTAAAATCAGTGGACGTGGTTTTCTTGGGAATTTACACTGGTCAACAAAGCGTACCTTCATTCGTAAAGAATATTGACTTTAAATTATTTCAGTTTATAGTTGTTTAAACCAAATGCAATCATCTTGCTTAGCACATTTAATTTCTTTTTCATAAGTCATTTAGTATCACCAAGTTCTAATCAAGTTTATTTGAGTTTGTGTCATATATCTGTTAAAATAAAAATAAATCTTGGAACCATTTGTTTAACAAGAATGTTCAGTCTTATTCTGTAGAATGTTTTCACAATTGAAGCAAATGTATTCAGCGTAATTGTCAGAATACTAAAATATTTCCAAACATTTCTGTTGAATTATGGAATGGCTTTTAAATATCACAGCCTCTTAACAATAATAATCGAAGACAATGTCATACACTAATTTGACACTCATATTTATGTATTGATAAAAAGGTTTGTAGATTAGGTGAGTGTTTTTGATAATGCTGAGTCCTCCAAGCTGAATGATTTAATCCCATAGCTTCTGTTTTTATTCTGGACAAAATCGGCACCCACTGCCATTCAACTTGTATTTGTTCATAGGGGCGAAAAAAACTTCTTAATTAAACTTATCAGCCAAAAAACACATTACTTAAAATATATTTTTGTTAAGTACCATCAATAGGCCAGCTGTATCAATTGCCATCTAATCAGATGTTTTAATTATTACACAATTGTCAGTATTTGTTTAAAGAACTGAGGTCATTATCCACGAAAAATGTAACATTTTTCTTCCCACCAGCAATTGTAACTCGATCGAAAGGGAATTGACATTCGTTATTAAGGGTTACATCTGTTCTACTGTTAACAAACTACATTTTACTCTAACTCTTTACTAGTAATTTTCTAGTTGACGTCTAGTTTCGAAGATTTATCTTGAGAGGCGAAGAATTAGGAAGAAACTGTAAGCTAAGTAAGAAGAAACGTCACTTTTACTCATTCATTCGGTACAAACTTTACCGAGTAATGTGAGCAACGCTGATAAATAATTAGAGAATTTAACAATTTTTAGTCATGAGGCCACAAAATATCCAGATTTAATAGTTTCGATTTAGTACCCAGACTTAAAAAAGGAATATATACTTGAACAACGAGTTTAGCTAGACATGCCAATATTGCAATATAATTTACTCGCAAATTAATAAAGGCAGGCAGCTTCAAAAGGACACTAATTTATGATCTAGTCACATAAATAATAATATTTTCACGTATTACCGTTTTAAAATGGGACTTTTAAAAGCCTAAATGTTTACAAATATGGAATAGATTGAAACAACAGTCAATATAACTTGTATTGTGAAAAACTAACATTTATAATCAACCAAATATTTTGAAAGCAGTATTTTTTTACCCAGTTTTTATTATGCAAAGACCTACAACTGAACAAGTTTTGTTCTTATTATCTTCATTTAAGTACTCCGTATAAGCTACACATCATAGTTTTATGTTTCAATTTCAGCGTATTTCCTTATTACTTCTTAATAACTATTGAACTAGTTCATAAATTAAACTGTCAATCATATATATACTTTAAGTTATACAAGCAATGTTCATCATTGTGACTTAATAAAATTACAATAATTCTAACTTGACTGATTATTTAAGTGTATTTAAATGTTAAGATGTAGATGATTTGTACACTTAATGAGTCTTCCACATAGTATTTGAAAATAATTGGAAATACTAATTAACTTTAAATTTTTATAGAATTGATGTCTAGATTTAAATTTATATTCCTTTAGCCATTTAAAGGTGATACGTTTGATGGATTTTTGTTCTCTGAGCGCAGAGAACAAAAATCCATCAAAATCATCCACCTGAGCGACAAATCTTCCTCATCATCTCAAAGGTGATAATTAAATAATAATATTTTTAATGTATCATAAAATGATTATGTATTTTGTATTTTTTGTCTATTGACTACTTACAAGATAATACAAGTGCATACATAATTTCATACAATTTTTCCCACTTATAAATTTGACTAAAAATCAAGAACAGTAAATGTAGCAGGATAACATGAATTCATCATATTTCCTAGTTTCTCGTCAACTGCTTACGACTTAAACATAATAATATTAATCTTTAAACATCAGTATGTATGCTTTATATCATAATATCGGAAGGGTTCTGATCAGTGAAGATTAATGAAAAGAGCAGTAAGTACGAAAGAATGATAAGAAATATTCATATGTTAATTGGCATGGGGTAAGCAACCCCATCCAATAGAAAACAACCATGCTAGAAAATCCAAAAAGAATAAACAAATTAAATCATTTAAACACTGTCCTCCGAGTTGAAGGTAGAGTTATGACGCCTCACGGTGAAAGCCATGATTCTTTGGAATTCACGAGGCCGATATCCCTTCTAACAACCAGAGCAACAATTAATATAGATACATGGAATATTCGGACAATACGGGAGACCGGAAGAACCGGTCAAATAACTGCGAGAATTAGGAGATACAACTTGACGGTGCTCGGAATAAATAATACCCATTGGACCAAAGTTGGACAGAAAATGATAGATTCGGGAGAAATGCTGCTTTACTTTGGTCACGGGAAAGTGAGTGCTCCACACACTCAGAGTTGTTTTGATGCTTATAGGACGAAAATTTCATGAACCCAAGGTCATCAAGGCATCTTTCAAAACAAAGAAGGAGGGAGTCATAATGAATGCTATCCAACGTTATGCACCCACCAATGATAGCAACGATAATGATAAAGATCAGTTTTACAAAAGGTTTCAAATGCATAGTGAGGTGCACAGGAAATGACCTGACCATCCTGATAATAGACCTAAACGCCAAAGTAGGGATGGATAACGCCAGGTATGAAGATATCATGAGACAACATGGACTAACTGGGAGGAGAGAACGAGAATGATGACAGATTTTTAAATTTATGTGCACTCAACAAAATGGTTGTAGGCGGTACAATATTCCCCTGCGAACGCATACACATAACTCCATGGATCTCATCGAATCACACTACACAGAACCAGATCGATCATATTTGCGCCACTAAAACATTCAAATGGTCAATGGAAGCCGTGTTGGCCAGGAGAGGAGTTGACATAGCCTTAGATCACCACTAGTTATTGGTTGCCAAGATAAAACTGAGGCTAAAAAACACTGGAAAACTGGAGAAACAGCATTACAAAGACTCAATACAGTTTTGTTTCGACATACTAACAAACTCAACAACAGATTACAAGCCTTACACGATCTACTCGAAGAAGATGAAACTACTATTGAAGACAATTGGAAAGTGATCAAAGAAACACTAACTCCAACGTGTTAGAAGGCTCTGAGCTGCAACCAGCATCATAATAAGAAGTAAATCTCTATGGAAACCCTGGAAAGAATTCAAAACAGGAAGAAAAAAAACGACAGCAATCAACAACATTCGAACAAGGGAAGAGAAAGCCAAGGTACAAGCTGAATACACAGACGCAAACAATCAAGTGAAGAAGAGCATTAGAACTGACAAGTAGAAATATGTGAAAGATCTAGCAACAACAGCGGAAGAAGCTACAACAGAAAGAAGTATCAAACAACTATATGAAACAACGAAGAAACTGACAGGAAACGTAGTCAACCAGAGAGACCGATCAAGGACAAACAAGGCAAGCTAGCCACTAAGATTCAAACATATCAGGACAGGGAAGGCAGAAAGACCTGACAATATACCAGCTGAAGCACTGAAGTCAGACATAGAAGCAACTGCAAACATGTTACAAGTCCTATACATGAAGATTTGGAAGGAGGAACAAGTGCCGACGAACTGGAGAGAAGGATACCTCATCAAGATACCAAAGAAAGGAGATCTAAGCAAATGTGAAAACTACTGAGGTATCACACTACTATGGGTACCAGGAAAAGTTTTGTAAAGAGTATTGCTGAACCGGATGAAAGATTCAGTGGACACCGTACTTCGAGATCAACAGACCGAGTTCCGTGAGGATCGGTTGTGCACAGACCGAATCACGACATTAAGGATCATCGTTCAACAATCAATTAAATGAAACTCGTCACTATACATCAAATTCCTTGACTATGAGAAGGTGTTTGACAACGTAGACAGCTCAGATGTAACTAGACGATTTGGACTTCTCAGATGACCTAGTCCTTCTAT